TTGGAGGTTTTTCTGAGAATAGGAAAATGCACTGGTTTCGATGGGAATTTCTCTGTTTACTGTTAAAAAAAGTTGGTTTGAGTTTTAAGAGTTTCAAAGAATTTAACGTGGCTTTACTATTTAAATGGAAATGGAAGATTTTGCAGGGGAACAAATCTCTTTGGATGGAAATTTTGGAGGCGAGATATGGGAATCTGAAGCACCAAATTTTGACTGGTTCCAGTATTTCTGGGAAGATGATCAAATAGGGGTGGTGGGCTGATTTATTATCCCTTGAATCGAAATTTTTTGCTCAGGTTTTTTCTAAGAATTTCATTTTTAGGTTGGGCAGATGTTCGAACATCCCTTTTTGGAGTGCTAATTGAAATCAAGATGTTATCTTGAAGGAGGATTTTCCTGAATTATATAATTGGAGTTCCTTGAAGGATTCTTATGTCAATTCCATAAGTAGTTGGACGGAGGATGGCTGGATCTGGGGCAATTTTGGAGTTCCTGAAGTTTTAAATCCATATGTTCAGTCGAAGCTATAGCTGTTGCGGGCGCGTATTGAAGTAGTGTGTCCGGACAGATTTGCGAATGATGCATTCAAGTGGAAACCATATATGGTTTCAGCCTATTCGACGAACATGGTTATGGCATGTTGTCCAATTTGTCCTCAGTTTCTGTTTTAGATGAAGAACTATTATCGATTATTTGGAATATTTGGAAGTCACATGTTTCATTTAGAATCAAAGCCTTTGGGTGGAGATGTGTGATGAATAGATTACCTTCGAGGGATCATCTATTACGTATAGGTATTATTCTTTCTTTTATAGATTCTCTTCACATCTTTTGTTTGGGAGAAATCAGATCTTTATTTCACATTTTCTTGTACTGCCCTTGTATTAAGTTGCTATGGAGAGATATTTTTCTTGTTGTGGTTTATTATCTGATCCAGGAGATCACATTTGGAGCTCTCTGCAGTATTAGGTTACTGAGTGTAGCAAGTTAGGGGTGAAGAAAGGCAAGGCTAGTCCCATTTGGTTGGCGGTTTTGTGGTGTATTTAGCGTCATCGAAATAACATCAAATTTAATGGTCTTAATCCTTGTGTTTCTGATTTAGGTTGGGACATTAAATTGAAGGTTTGGAAAAGGGCCCGTATCGGGAATATTTCCACTACCAAGTGTAACTTTTACGAATTCTGCAAAGATCCTTTGTATTATTCAAAATCAGGAATCTTGAACTCTGAAGGGATAACAATCTCAGGTACTAGGCATATGGTAGTGGCATTGAAACCAAAAGCCTTAGAGGTTTCCATGGCATCAAGACTTTCCTTAGTAGCAAGACACATTTTTGTAGTTTCAGTAGGATCAACAACGGGATCGCCTGGTGGTCTTTTAAGATCAATGATGTTGTCATAATTGTCAACCTCCCTCTTTTGAAGCACCAGATTATCAGGAGTAATATCAACAATAGCAGCGTTAGGAATTCCATTAGGAGGATTAGGAAACCCATTAGAAGTTGAAGGGAAAGCTCTGTAAAAGCCTCTGTAATCTTGACAACACTATGACGAAGCTTTTCTTGACCTTTAACAAAAACTTGAAGAGTTTCGAAAAGTTGATTAATTTTTTCATTCATAATGTCCATGTCCATACAGAGTGCGACCTGGTTCTGCTCAATCTGCTCCATAATCCTGAACTTGTTGGCTCGAGTGCGATAAGGATGTAAGGAAGTCGTCTTGTAGATTCTGATAATAAGAGGCAAAACCATCATATAAGAATCCCGACCAGAAAACCTAAAATTCATGAAATGCATGATATGTATGATGTATGAAATGATTGTCCATTCCAGTTTTTCACAGCTCAATTGACGTCAGTAATAATCGAGAAACATGGTAATAAGAAGCACCATATAAAGAAAATATCCATAAATAGGAGAAGTTCCCACAGAATTCAATACAAGAAAGTTGCGAGAGTACAAGATAAGTGATTCCGTCCAACAAACGTGGCGGTAATCGAGATAATAATATAATAATCATTCTTAAGGTAGGCTATCATTCTTTCTCCATCTCTATCTCACATCACTAAGGCCCAAATAAAGTTCCTTAGCAATAGCTTCAAAGTCGGGTTCGTTCAGAACAACAACAAATATGTGCTTGGTAATCTTGAGCAAATGAGAGTACTCTTTCGAAGTTGGAGTGATCTAATGGTCCTGGAAGGTGAAACAGTGTAACTCATAGTCGTAAAATTGAAGTAGAGTCAAAGCACCACCATGTCTTTCACTAAAAACCCCTACATTAGGACGAACTAAATGATCTTTTAAAATTCTCAAAGAAGGCCTAGAACTTGAGCGGAAAACTTGAGCGGAATTGATAAGTATAATTTTGTCTTATGGTCTTCGTGAGAATATCACTGTTGCTAGACGTTACTGAAGGAAATTATAACTTTGTAAGATAACCTGGAATGGACATGCACATGCAAGGTTGGTATGTAGTTTCATTTTTCTGACATTTCTTTTGAAAAATAAACATGTTATGATGCAAGTGCAAGTGATCATGGGATTACTACTTCCATGATACAGATTTATGTTGCATTGTCTCTACATAGTCTGCTAGTACCAAGATTATAGGTTTGGGACACAACCGGAAGAACCTCACGAACATCAGATTCGGAACTCAGAAAATAAATCTGAGAACCTCCTAGTCCCCAACAGAAATCCAGAACATAACCATTAGAACAAATAACCACCATCTGAATATAGTCACCAATTGTACCTGTGATAATAATTCCCTCCCCACTCACGGGTGAAAACTAGTTCAGGATAAAGCCAAGGGTAACTCAAAATCATGGGTCCGCCTGGAAGAATTATCGTCATTCCATAGACGTGGAGGACGATAGCACCCTATTTGTACCTCATCTGAGCGCAAACGACATGACCGCATAGTAGGACCTTCGTCCAGTAGAAATCATGTTCCACTATATTCCTAGGTTTCCTAGATAGTGCACTCTGGCCTGGGTATTGGGCCTCTTTCATCATAGTAACACCTATCCAATCAAGAAGCAGATCCAGTACGGCAGTAGTATATGGAAAACAGTAAAATGCAATGCATACATATGATCAGCTAATCATGTATCGATGAATAAACTGAAAGCATAAAAATAAACACCCAAAGAAAGGAAACAAGAGCTAGGAGTGACTCTGGGATGGACCAGCATTTGGTCGACCTGTCCTCAGTGAAGTCTCCAGTTGAGAATACCGACTGAACATCATCAAACAATGAAGTCGCCATCGAACGTCTTTTATCTTACTTGAAGGGAAAGGTAAACATCGAGAAAACCTGAGAAGGGAGAAGTAACGGTCTTGAGACCGAGAGATCGGGTAATGGAGTCTGTTACGATAGGGGAAGGTATTAGCACCCCACACGCCCGTAGTACTCTACGGTATCCACTCTTGTTATCTAATCTTATGGGTATGTTTAATCTATGCTTATTGTTTACTACTGAAGAAGAATGCATGCAAAATGAAGGGGAAAAGAATGTAGGGAAATAAAGTTGTGCTCGCTTGGGCCTTACCCCAATGCTTATGTATCCTTTTTGAGGAATCAGAGCTACCGTAGTTCGACTCACATGTTTTTGTTTGTTTTGTGTTTTTTATGGGCAATGTTAATTCTGCCTTCTGCCGCAGCTTGACCTTTGGAGACTTATGCATTGGCACAGAAGTAAATTAATCATGCCCTTACCTGAAAATAGTTTCGAGTTACGCCCTCGAGGCAAGGTGCCACATTTTTTTGGTTTGTGTTTTGTTACCTTGAAAAGGGTTTGAGTGTGATTAGCATGTTTTTGATTAGCTGAGAAAGGAAGTTTTAGTTTTGAATGCAAGGATGCAAAAAAGGGAAGAAAAGAGTCTAAGGGAGACTAGCCTATTTCTAACCTAATGTTATCATACAATGGTAGTCCTAAGGTTTGGATTAACAAAAGGGAAACGTCTACCTAATGTTAGCATCCATGGTTTGCAACCTAAAGTCTAACTTGCGTCTGAAGGAAGCAAGCACATCCTAAGGGAACATGGTGTGTACAACGATAAAGCAAAAAAGTTTGAAGAAGCATACACATAAAAGAGTAAGGAAAATAAGAGAAATGATTTAGCCAAGGGGAGGTTATCACCCGAGACAAACAAGCGGGAGTGAGATGAAAAAAAAAGTGATATCCAAAGCAACTAAACACCTAACCAAGATATAGGAGATCGAGGCATGTGACAGAAGATGATATGAACGATCACAGAGTATCAACATAGGCCAATGCAATCTCCTGACAAAGCATGGGGGTTCGATTGTAGAACCCTTCCCCACTTGACGACTCGATACACCAGAGAAGGCACAACTCTGAAGCATAGTGGTGCGTCACGGGCTAAGGATGACACAGACGGAATTGTGGGGGTTGATTTCTAACCCTCCCTACTCACCTCTTTTTGAGGAATTATCATCTGTACATATGCGGGAAGAAATATAAACACACCTGCAGAATACCTACTCAAAGGTAGGGTTTTAAATAAACCACACACAGGTAGCACACAATGGCAAACAATGGGGAATTGCCCTAAACGGGTCTTTAAATAAACTAGAGGGTTTCTTGACATGATCAGCAACAAAGACCCCCGTCATACATCTCTACCCTACTTCTCATGGCATCAGAAATCAGTAAATCCTACTTCTCATTATATCTAGAAAAGCGGTAAAGAAGTGCGATAAAGTGCAGAAATGAGGAATAAAATAAAGTTGTGATGATACCGAACGGAGAAAGTATGTTGCCTCTTTAAAACGATGCAAGCGATAAGAAAACTCTACATAAAGCTTCCTTGAATTTCCTTAATGATAATTAAGCTCTTAATTCACTTTGTAACTTCTTGAAATTCCTCAAAAAATTCTTTTATTTACCAATGTCACCCAAAAAATTCAATCACCAAAATTAATCGCAAATGCAATTGAAACAAATATTGAAAATAAGACTTCAGGAGGTTCAAGATGGATCCAAGGTGTATAATCCAACAATTCAATATGTGGTATAAAGCCCAATCCGTGGACCCTTTTTGTTTGTAGCATTTTCAAACCACCAAAAAAATGGTAATGGGCCTTAGTAGGAAGCAATCTGACCCACTACTATCACCAGCCTCATCCTGTAATTCCATATATCCCTTCAACTTTATTTATATTACTTGCTGCGAACAAAATAAATAAATTAAAAATTAAAAAACAAAATGATAAAGCGACGACATTTGGCATGGATAGGGTTAAGGGAAATGTCTCTTCATATTCCTCGATCAGAAGGCTCTTCTCCTTCAAACAAAATCGGTCGTGACGATATTATCTTCTCCGACCTCCTCTGATAATCGTCGCCACCTCTCATCTCAAACCGCGACACAACTCCCTCCATCACCAGCGATTTCTCCTTTCGATCTCCACCTTCGTCTCAAATCAACTCTCATCAGTGATACTCCTCAACCTCTCTGTCTTTGAATCTTCTCCTTTGATTCTTCCTTCGCCTCGCTTTTGATTTGTTTCTCTCTTGCGATAACCATTGAAGCGTCACTGCGGTAGAAGCCTCAGCTCCAGAAATCTCTATCGTCAAACTCCATGGCCTCGTCTCCGGTCTGATTCGAGGTGCGCAATGTTCCGCCTTCTTCCTCACAATTTCAGATCATCTTCGTTCAACAAACGCCATAGTGTCTTCGCTTCTCCTGGATGGTATTCCTCTCACGCTCAACCATAGCTCCTCCTTGCTTTGTTCATCACCATCTCCACTCACTCCTCAGGTTATATTTTATTTCCCCTTATGCGTTTTGTGTTAATCGTTGTTGTACTATTCTTGCGATTAGTTGATGATGCGCGTTGTGAAGCGATGCAGATTGAAGTTACAGTTGAATAGTGGAGATGCAAATATGGTGATAAAGCAGTGGTGTTGTATGCATTCTAAAGTTATAAACACTGAGATAAATATGAGAAAGTGTAAAATCTCACATGTTGAAGTAGGTTATTGAGAGTTTGAGGCAGATTAAAGGTTTGTTGAAGAGGACGAAGATGATGCAATGAAGTTCAGAGAGAGAGTTTTCTTTGTAATTTTCTTTGTTGTCGAATCGAAGAATGAGGGATCAAGATTCAAGAAGATGCCACCAATTGAAAATAATGATGAAGGTGAATTGGAGGTTGAGTTAAGGTTGATGGTGAAAGAGGGAGTTCAGAAGAAGTTGCAGGGAGAAAATTGAGATCTGTTTTTGGTGAGTTTCTTTTGTAACTTTTCTGTTAGCAATCTGTTATCTCCCTTCCTCTTCTTACGTTGAAAGTTATACCTCTCTCTTCTTCTGTTACATTCTGTTGAATTCTCTGCTGGAATTTTGTTGTAGAATTGGTTAGAAGGTCATGGTTAGAAAAAATTTGTTAGGGAATGTTGGTTACAATTGACAGTAAAAAATTGGTTAGAAGAAGTTATGTTGGGAAATTGGTTATAGGTTGGTTGGAAATCGGTTATAAATTAGTTTTTATAATTCTGTTAGTGAACTCTGTTTTTGACAGTTAAGAGAGGGGTTAAGGGTAGTTACAGGCTAAAGCGGTTAGGATATGGTTAGAGGTTTAAAATTCTGTTACGGTAATTTTTAGGAGTCAGTTACAGGTTAGAAAAAAAAATTTGGACTGCTGTAACTTCTTCTCTTTTTTCTGTTTTTCATGGTTCCCTTATCCTAGTATTTTGAATTACCTTTATAGTGAATTGAATTTCATCTGGTCTGAAGCATTTCCTGGTTTTCTGACATATTTCTTTTGTATTTCCTTATTTATGTTGAAGCTAAACAGGAAGCTATGAGAGCTTTAGGTATAGACTGATTTGGATTTCTGAATTAGAGTTGAATTGTTGATTGGTTAATTGCAGGGCTGCTTTTGTGTGAATTGCTACGGGTACAAAGCACTTGGTACATGGTCATATTGGCAAAGCATGGTTCATGGTTATGAAGGTAAAGCATGGTTCATGGTTATAAAGGCAAAGCATGGTTCATGGTTACAAATGAGTGAAGATTCAAAACATGTCATGAAGATGAAGATGAATAGCGCATAGGTTTAGGACAATGTTTTTTTTTGTGTGAAATTTGTAATCCTTCCCGTTGATGTAATGTAATAGTGTCAAATGATGTAATAGTAACCGAACTTGTATTTATGTGATTTTGTAATATTTAGAAATTGGTTGAATTTTAATGAAATCTTAGTATTTTATATTTGATATATTATGCTTTTCCGAAACTTGAATCCAAAAACTCCATTAGAAGCTTGCGTCAATTTTACACACCATGCTTGCAATTTTAAGAGACTTCAATCTCCATGTTCCAATCTCAAATTCACACTAACTTGCCTTTAAAGCAAACTCTTAGTTGAAGAATCATGCACAAAACTTTGAGTTTGAGTTACTTGGACTTTGAATCAAACTCGACCTTTGAATTATCCCTTGAACTTATCATTGCACTTTTGATTATCCGAAAATGGCTGAATGATCGTTATTATAAGCACTTTAACCCTTAACTCAGAATCTTAATCCTTCGTAATAAGAATTAAGTTTATGGCTTAATGTAATTCAGAATGAACTCAAAAGAATCTTGTAACACAATTAAACCAACCATTCAGATGAAATATCTTGCATTAAGATGTCCACGAACCCTAATTTGTCATGGATGGGATCCTCTAAAGATATCGTTGCCTTGTGTTGCATATTGAAACTTCTTGAACCAAAACCCTAGCATACCATAAGTACAGTAAGATCTCTCCATGTCTTGTGATTTTTGAATCATGAGTTAAATCCTTGAGAATGTAAGACTTAACTGATGAACAACTCTTAGTGCAATCCCTCCTTAAAGTCCACATGCTTAGGAAAACAAAGCCTAGTCAAGTGATGATGATGACAAACATAAGAAGATGCTAAATACCTGAACTGGTAACCTTTAGGCGGCCTTATAGGATGACTTATGTAGTAAGAAATCACAACCACCTTATATGTTGAAGAACGCAACAAGAATATTGAGGAAGTAGAGCTCCAGATGATGTGAGCAAGCCTTGCAATTTGATATTAGGAAGAGAAGAATAACCCCATAGCTTGGTGATAAAGAAATCCATGAATTGAAACCCTAGCTTCAAACAAAACTTGATCGATGAAAGAACCAATTGATTTAAACATGAGTGAAGATAAGAGCTTAAAAGCATATAGAGACCCTAATTCCTTAATATCTTTGATCACATGCCATGTTTTATTGATTAATGAATGAATGATATGTTAGATGACCTAATGTAAGTCATGTACATGAAAAAAGTGCCAAATGCATAAGACATATAAAAGTGAAAGGGTAGGACAAATTTGGGGTATTACATCGCCCGACGATGCTTTATGCTCGCCCGGCGATGGAGTGCAGATAGGCCATACTTTTGGCTACTTTTTACCACCTTTTACGGAAACTTTCCACCAACTTTTGTCTTGTGGAGGGAAAATTTTGATTTTAGATATAGAAACCTTTTGTTCTATGGATCATAACATTACAACATTGAATATACTTTTTGTTCTTATCTCTTGAGGAGGGAAAAAAGAAGAACACTCTTGCATCTTGAATCAAGGAGACTTCAAGATTGATGTTCATCAACATCCATTATTTATTCATTGAGTAGGGTATCATGACAATGAGTAGCTAAACACTTTTTGTGTCAAGGTTAGAAGTAGTTAACCTAGACTTAATGTATTTCTTTTAATAATTTTGTATATGAACTTGATTGAAGATTAATACATGTTGGATATCTTTGTTTCATTGTTATTTTTATGGTTTGGTTCATTATTGAGAAGTAAGTTCCAAGCTTGACCTAAGATATTCATCTACTAATGAACAAGCTCTAGACATAGATTTGTGAGTTAGTATTCACTTGTATCAAGCTTTAAAGATTATCATGTTAATAGTTAGGTTGAGAGATCATTTAATGATTAACATGATAACACTCATAATATTGCTTAGACATGAGAAATATTGAGAGGATACGTGAATGTATTGATCATTGATTAGTTCATATGCAAGGTTAATCGAATAAATGTGGAATAGGTTGGTGAAAACTAATCTTGACACCCTTTTTTTATCAAAATAAACATTTTCAAACAATAATCTCTCTATTATTCAAATCTCTATCTAGTGCATGAAACTTGATATTTGGTTACTAAAATCAAGCATTAAAACTTTGTTTATGATTCAAACACTTATAAACACTCAAACTATAGAACTACATTAATATCACACCAATCCATGAGGAAAACGATAATATAAATACTTTTGTTGAAAATACTACAAACAAAATGGCGTCATTGTCGGGGATTAGCATTTGACTATTGAAAGCATTGCAATAGTTTAAGCGTTTTAATTTATTTTTTTATTAATAATATCTTTTGTTTTTCACTTGTTTTGTTAGTGTTTTCAGACTTTAGTTTATGCGAGGAAGTATTTCTGAAGATCAACTTCTGTTTGACCCTGAAATCAAAAGGACTTGCAGAAAACTTAATAGCAAGACTAGATGAAGGATGAAACTAGCGAAAGAAATAAGAGAAAGATGAGAGGTGTCCAATTCTACTATACCTTTTAATCAAGATATAGAAGAAGTTATGGCGGAAAATCCACCAATACGTCCCTGTACAAATAGTCCAAGGTTGAATGCGCAGTTTGCTAGGAATGTTGACCAAAGGCATTCAGAAATAAAACCTGGAATTTTACAAATGTTGTATCATAACCCTTTCACTGGGTTAGATCATGAAGATCCTTACACCCATCTCACAAAATTCTATGAGATAGCGGGTGCTATAGGAGCTCCCGAGGAAGATGAAGAACAAATGTTTAAAAGATTATTTCCACATTCGTTGATCGATAAAGCTAAGGATTGTTATCTTGACCAACCTAATAACCTCATGATGGATTGCAATAGACTTGAAGAAAAATTTCTTGAAAGGTTTTTCCCACAATCACGTTTCTTTGAAGCAAAAACGGCTATATCGGTGTTCTCTCAAGATGGAGCCGGGTCATTCAATGAATCTTAGGAAATGTACAAATCTATGTTGAGAAAATGTCCAAGTCATGGTTTTGATGCCATTACCCAAATTCATATTTTTCGAAATGGATTACAACCACAACAAAAAATTTTGTTGGATGCTACGGCGGTAGGATCAATTATGGAAAAGAAAACGAAAGAAGCGGTGGAAATTATTGAAAGAATGGCAAGGAATGACCATCAAGTATAACATGATAGAAGTATGGTTCAAAAGAGATAGGAAGCAAGTGATTCAAGATCAAATGAAGTTCTTTTAGCGCAAAACAAATTGTTCACTCAACAAGTGGAAGAATTAACAAAGAAAATGGAAAAGCTCCATCAACAACTAAGATAAATGCAAGAAAGACCTAAAAATCAAAATCAACAAATTGCTAGTTGTGAATTATGCAAGGGTGATCATCAAACTGGATTTTGTCCTTCGGTTGAAGAAGAAGTTAATTACATGGGAAATAAAGATCAAGGATACCAATAAAGGAAACCATATCAAAATAACCAAGGTTATCATTAAAGAAATAACCAAGGGTATCAACAAAGGTGGAGACAAGATGCCAACAATCAAAATAGACAAAGTCCTTATCAAACCACAAATCAAAATTCCCAACCTCAAGCTAGAAGTTCAAACTTACAAGACACTCTTTCTCAATTCATGCAAGCATCTATGGCAAATCAAAACAGTAATGAAGCGGATATCAAGAATTTGGAGACTCAAGAGGGGAAACTAGCTAAGAAATTGGCCAATCAAAATGTCGGTTCATCATTGTCATCAAATACTCAATCTAATCCAAGGAGCATTGCAAGGCAATAATAACTAGGACGGATAGGGTAGTCAGAAATGGTCATGGTAAAGAAGTTGAAATTGAGGAAATTGTTGAAGAAAAAGAGTTTGAAGAGGAGATTGTAGTATAAAATAACCATGAAAAGGAGTTAGTTGAAAAGGAGAAGTTGAGAAGAAACAAGAAGGAGAAAGTTGCTACTTTACCGATTCAAAATTTTCCATATCCTCATGCTCCTTCCAAGAAGGAAAATGTTAGGCACTATGCTAGGTTCATGGATATTTTTAAGCAATTGCAAATAAATATTCCATTTTCCGAAGCTATGGAACAAATGCCAAAGTATGCAAAGTTCATGAAAGATATACTTACAAAAAAGAGAAGATCAACGGATCAAGAAGTTATCATGGTTGATGCAAGTTGTAGTGCTATTATTTAACGAACTCTACCGAAGAAGGAAAGTGATCTGGGAAGGGTTACTTTGCCGGTTACCATTGGTGATATTTATGTCGGTAAAGGATTGATTGATTTGAGTTCTAGAGTTAATTTGATTCTTTTGTCTATTGTGAAAAGATTGGGGAACATTAAGATGAAGTCAACAAATATGACACTTCAACTAGCTGATAAATCCATCAGTTGTCCTTATGGTGTAGCTCAAGACTTGCTAGTGAAAGTTGATAAATTTTTCTTCCCGGTTGATTTTGTTTTGATTGATATGGAGGAAGACCATGATGCACCTTTGATTCTTGGTCGACCATTCGTGAAGACTGCAAGAATGATGATTTCCATTGATGATGGTTTAATGAAGGCCTGAGTTCAAGATGAAGAAGTAAGTTTTAATCTCTTTGAAGTTATGAAACATTCTAATGATAAGGGAGCTTGTTTCAAAGTTGATGCTATTGAAGAAGCTATTTAGGATGTTTCTAGTGAAGTTCATCTTTTAACACCTCTTGAGAGAACATTGAATAGTTTTATTCAAGTTCTTGATGTTCATGAAGAAAAGGAGTTGGAAGAATGCATGAAGGAACTTGAAGCTTTAGAAGAAATTCAATCTTGGGACGAAGAAGTTGAAAATTTGAAGAAAGAACCTAAAGAAGAAGAGTCCAAAATTGAATTGAAGATGTTGCCGTCTCATTTAAAGTATGTGTTTCTTGATGATGGTGGTAACAAATCGGTAATCATTAGTAATGCTTTATTGGAGAAGGAGGAGCATTGTTTAGTTAAAGTT